AGCGTTCAACTGAGAAATATCCTATAATAAGTTAGCTATGTCCCATGCAGCAGGCAGGATCCTGAGTGGGGAGCTGGGAGATTAAGAAAAGACAAGACAGACAGGAAAAGAAAAGCTGGGACAGGGTGGATCACAGCCCTCTGATGGAGAGGCAGAGACCCTGTGCAGGCACCAGCATCTTTATTTATACATGGTAAAAGGGGGAGGAGACGCCTGACGGGGTTGAAAGCGCAAAGTCTCAGTGCTTTGCAGAGAACACGGAAAGCGGAACATTCTCAGAGCTATTTGTGCTGTAGTTAACAGGGAGGAACGCTGAGGGGTCAGACACCTGCTGATAGGCAACTGAGCTACAGGTCAACTTGTGTAGGATCGCTTCTGGCATTTCAAGGTCCTGGGACTGGCTTTACTCTAGTCCCAAGGAGTTCGCCAGCCTCAGCCTCAGTCACTCTCCACAGTTAGCTACATACTTCTTTTGGAGAGTCTGCTCAGATGCCCTGCAGAAGTGAAGGGTTTATTCCTCCCCTGCAGGCAGTGCTGCTGGCAGAAAGCACTGTTTAGTCCACTACTTGCACTGTGTTGGCTGAAGAGAGAACCATCACTCCAGTTCATGTCCCTTCCCTGGGACAGTCACATGGGATGACTCATCAGTGAACAAAGGCTGCCCTTGGGGGAAATCTTTCAGGAATCCAATCAACTCAATGGCGAAATCAACCTTAAAACTCTCCTTACAGTAAGCTGACACCTCCATCAGACTGAGGACAAGAGAACGCTTCTTTCTGTTTTATTGTACTTTTGCCCCTTCCCCTCCACAGGTCTTACTTCTAAGAGTATACTCTAATAGATCTTCTCTCACTAATCTCCAGTGTCATCTTCACATTCCCCAGGGTGTTATCACATTTGATAGTGTCTTGGTTCCTTTTCTCCTTGCTGAGACAGAGTATTCAACACTCACAAGTTAAAGGAGGAAAGGTCTATTTTTGGCTCACAGTTTGTAGAAGTTCCAGTCCATAGTCAGCTGGCTCAAGGCAGGGTGACATAGCAGAAGGCCACGATGGAGGAGAAACAGTTCATGGTGTGGCAGACAGAACACAGCAAGCAGTAAGCAAGCAGCAGCAAGCTTGACTTTTCTTTCTCCCCTCATATCCATTATCCACACTCAGAAGTATGCTGAACCAAGTAATTATCACATACCCTTAATTGACCTAGATCTAGCACCTAAGAAAAGCCCCACCTATGAGCACATGAGGCTTCAGGGAGACATCAGGATATAAGCCATAATGGGAAGAGTATCAAACTATGCATTTGAAATTTCTGTATAAAATGTTATTGATTAGTTGATACGAATTGGGCCTCTCTTACTTGCTACATATTGAAGATTCTCAATAAACTTGAAAATTTGCAGGAGACAATAGTCAGTTCTTTTAGGTATTTTTTTTCCAGGTGAAATCTGAAGATTAAGTAAAAAGTGCAAAATGAAGTTGTTTTCTGGTATAATTTGCTAACATTATCTCAGTCTTTGATCAGTCATAGCAAATTCATTTTAGGATTGTGTCAGAGATAATTGAAATCAAGCATTTAATTCTGACATCTGGATATCATAGTAATGGGAATTGTGAGATGGAGAGAAAAATAGGTACTGTGACATTAATATTTTAAAATTACTTAATTTTTAATGGATATATATACATATTTATTGGGCCATATTATTATTTCATTTACCAAATGCCTGTGGATAAGAATGGATGGCCTAAGCCTCAGAAGGGCAGGCAGCCTGGAGGGTAAGGGCATGACTGTAGAGATGGACGGGAGTTCAAATCCCGGTTCTGTCACTTATTCGCTACAAGACTTTGAGTACACTATCTAGTCTTCCGGACTATCAGCCTCATCATAAAATATGAGCACCATGGGGACAGGGACCATATCTGTGTTGTTGTGTATCCAGTGTTTAATAAGCCTGGCACTGCAGCACCAAGATGCACATCAAACAGTTATTGAAACAATGTGTTAAGAAAGAAAACAGTGGCTGGGCAGGTGGTACATGCCTGTAATGCCAGGCCTGGGGAGGCTGGGGCATGAGGACTGTGGAGAGTTCAAAGCCAGCCTAGGCTACACAGTGAGTGCAAGGCTGGCCTGAACTACATAGTGAGACCTGATTTCAGAAAGAGACAGAGAGAGAGAGAGAGAGAGAGAGAGAGAGAAGGGAAAAACAGTGGAGCCATGTTATTCTATTAGATATAAACAATTTCACAAGATAATAACCTCAGACAAGATTACTCTAAAACCATGATAAAGGAAGATAAAGCAAGGCCAACACAATTATAGATAAGCACAAGAACAGTTTGCTATATTATATATCAAATATTTCTTTTCTTCACAGAAATGAATGACTGCTACTTCTTTGCCACCTGCAGATTTATCCTGATGCTTTACTTCCTATATGTAAGGTTTATTGAAATGTATGATCATAGAACTGATCTTGCTAATAGTATCCAAATCCCTGGCTCCAAACCCCTTATCCTAAATTATGAACTAAAGCCCAAAACATATGATAGATTTATTCTAATATCCTAAATCTGTTTCTGGTTGCTATAATAAAATGCCTGAGACTGGGTATTTAAAAAAATAGAGGTTTGCTTTGGTTTATGGTCTGGTACATTTGTGTGTGTGTATGTGTGTATGTGTGTGTCTCTGAAACAAGGTTTCACTATGCAGTTTAGGCTGGTCTTGAGCTCACTTTGTAGCCCATACTGGCCTCAACCTCACAGCAATCCTCTTGCCTCAGCCTCCCAGGTGCTGGGATTACAGCTGTGTGCCACCATACCCAGCTTGGTTTATAAAGCTGGAAGAATGGTTGTGCCTGGTAGTAGAAAAGCAGAAGGACAAGTACATACACATGTAAGAGACAAAACACTATGGAAGGATTTATTTTAAAATAATCTGCTCTTGCAGTAACTAATACAGTGCCAGAAGAACAAGAAGTCACTGTCCTGAGAATTAATAGTTCCATGAAAGCAACATTAGTATCTTCCTGAGGGCAGAGCCTTCATGACCTAAACACCTGTTGAAGTTCTCACTTATCAGTACTGTTGCACAGGCTACCATATTTTAACATGAGGTTTGGATGGAAAAAACGACATTCAAACCATAGCACAACCTTTTATGGAGATATCCCAAGATCCTCCACAGTATGTGCTTACTTCTGTGAAGAACAGACATAGCCTATTCAACTGCAACTGTATTTCTCATTATATTTCGCTGAGGGAAAAGACTGCGTGAATAGAAAAAATGGGGGAGAAAAGCAGTCTCCAGAGTTTCTGTGGATTTTGAATGGATAATTAATTTGCTGAAATATTTTGAGGATCGGTTTTGTGCCAGACAACATGCTACGTTCAGGACATGCTTAGAAGAATGAGAACCAAAATGGTCTTTGGGAATTTGAAATTGTAATGTCTTTTTTTTTGTTTTTGTTTTTTTCTGGTACCGGGAATCGAACTCACGACCTCGCGTTTGCCAGGCAGGCGCTGTGCCGCTGAGCTAAATCCCCAGCCCCGGGAATTTGAAATTGAAGCACAATCAGAGTAGAAAATTTATGATCCAAATCAGAGCAGTACGCACTTAGGCATACAGCTCCTGTAAAAAGTGTTTTATAATAGACCATACGTAGAGGAGTGCCCTTTGGGAAGGAGGGAGTTAGAAAAGCAGGGAACGGGTAGTGAGCAGAACAACGGCTCACAAACGATCTCCACGTCCTACTCCGGGAAATCTGTTAATACATTAATTCACGTGGCAAAAGGGACTCAGCAGATGTGATAAAGGATCTTGAGACAAGGAGATTATTCTGGATTCTCTAGTTCGGAGGCCAGAGAGACAGAGAAGCAGACTAGTGACAGAAAAATGATGTGGGCAAGCTGCCTTTGCTTATTCCTTAAAATCTGGGGGTAGAAGACTTAGAAAAAAAGGCTACATCATCAAACACTTGAAATGCTGTCAGGAGAACCAGCAACTAGGCATGGTGTGCCGATCCAAGATGAAAGGATAAGGCTATAAGCAAATATTAAGCCACCATCGGGAAGTACATTCTAGTAGTTATTCTAAAATAACATAAGACTTCTTAACAGAAAATTATGCCTTTCATTTCGTTCGTTCATCTGTCAACAAGTAATCACTTGAACAGTCAGAATATGGCAAGGACGCGGCACGTGGCGGTAAGTGAAATGGACAAAGGCACTGCCCTCAGTGGTGTTCTGATTTCTTTGTGGAACGTTTTACGGCTCACAAATACCATTACATTAAAGCATCATTTAACCACGAAGCGAGCGCCCAATCGAGATGGCTGAAAAGAGATTTATGAATGGGGAACTACGGAAAGAAGGCAGTTAGAAAGCAGGGAGCTGGGCTGTGGAGCCCTTGGGACACTTCCCAGCTTCCCTCGCTTCGCCCCGCCCACTCGCGGCCGC